TTTAATAATTAAATTAAACATATATTTATAAATAATCAAATCAAAAAGTATATTAATAATTTTTTAAAATTTAACCATTAAAATAACATTAATTGTGATCAAGTCTGAAAAAATATAGTACTGGCCAACTAAATTAGAAACGCTAATTATAATTTCCTAAATTTTTTGATATGTTTCTTGGGGTATGATATCAATTTGAAGCATTACTACTTGATTACCAAATCCATCAAACGTGATTGATATTATTATAAGTAGTGTCACTGTCATGGTCATCCTTTTGCAATCCCATTTATTGCTTACTGCAGTACTTGACTTTAGCTTTCCTTTCTCTCACCCTAAAAATACTGTTTGCCGACCTTTTTCCCCCAATTTCCCTTTTGTCACTAGATCTGTTTTAATTTGCAGGCATTCCTCTATCTAGCTAGGGTTTCCTCTCCCTTTGCCGTCTCACAATCACACATTATTTCAATAAAGTAGCTAGATCCTAAGGAATTTTCACCTTCCTGTGGCTGCAGTGTTCACCCTTTTCCCCAGGTAAGGTACGAATCGAGGGGACCAGAGACTGAAATTACACTCTTTACACAAGAGAGGAGAAGTCAAAAAAGGTACTATTCCCATTTTCTTTTGGGTCTTGTCTAAGATATGCATGAAGCTTAATTTGGTTTATATAAGATCTAAGATCATACTAATTAATTAGCTTTTAAATTTTTTTTAATTTTCAAAGAAATTAAAACTAGGGTTTTTGTTATATCTATGATCTCTAATTAGTTAAAGAAAGAAAAACCCCAAGTGTAATATGAACTTAATTGATCGTCATGATCTTTTCATAGAATTTCATCAAGATTTGATAATATAGTTGTTAGGGTTTTGGTTCTTATGATGCATGAGTAAAGTTACTGCAGAGAATTAGGGATGGCCTCTTCCAGCTATTCTACTCCTTGTGCAGCCTGCAAATTCCTGAGGAGAAAATGCGTACCGGATTGTGTTTTTGCGCCTTACTTTCCACCGGAGGAGCCACAGAAATTTGCCAGCGTTCACAAGATATTTGGTGCAAGCAACGTCAGCAAGATTCTGAATGAAGTTCCACCAGATCAAAGAGAAGATGCAGTGAACTCTCTGGCATATGAGGCCGAGGCGCGGATGAAGGATCCTGTCTACGGCTGCGTTGGAGCCATTTCAGTGCTTCAACGACAGGTTATAAGGCTCCAGAAGGAATTGGATGCCACCAATGCCGATCTGTTCCGATACGCCTGTGCTGAGTTGCCAGTGGCGGCGGCACAATTTGGAAGAAGGGGATCAGCTGGGAATAATGGAGGTGGCCAGTTTAATCCAAATTATGAGTGTTATTATCCTAATTCTCTGTGGAGTAATGAAGATACCAGTGGGAAAAGTGAAGGTAATTAACGTGTGTGATATGCATATGATGTTCATATGATGAAGTTGCATTCTATTCTATGCGCAAATTTAGTAGGAGAAGTTCCATCTAGGGTTTCTTATATTGTGAAAATATTTATAAAGGGAGACCATGCCCAGTTATTTGTAATTACACATCCCCTAATAACTTGTCAGGCTTTCTCTTAATTACCTTTCTTTGATATAATATAATATAGCAGTAGTCATATCGTGATCAGCTTATGCATCAAATAAATCAGTTAACTATTGTTTTAATTTTCGGTATATTTTCCTCAATCCCATGCTAAGTTACGTATGAATTCATTTTGAGACCTCTAGCTTCAAGTTAATTAGAGCGTGTTTTCCTCCTTTATATTGTTTATCTAAGTTTATGTCTCTTGAGGGTAAAATAAAACATTTCTAAAATTTGAATACTAAAATAGATAGGGAAGAATTTTTTTAAAAAAAGATAATTATGCTTTACACGTAGTCCATATCAAACAGACCAAAAAATCTAATTTAGCTATATTTGCTCTTTTTTTGGATCATATAGAGAACTGCATGTAGAGATTATAAAATGTCTTTTTTACATATGTAGAATGTCTTATTATATTATAAATTTATGTCTTTTTTATCATTTTATTATAATTTATTAATTATCATATTTAAATATATTCAATGTCAAATATAATAATTAATCAAATATATATGATTGTTGATCCTATACCTACCCCATATCTGTTAGATTAAACCCACACCCAATATTTAGCTCATTGTCAATGTTTACAACCACGCCAAACTACTTAATTTCGACAATACAAATATTTTAAGGATACAATCATTTTGATTCTCTTGCACATCATGTTAGCATCATTACATCACATTTCTTTCTATACGCATGCAATTCAGTTTCTCTATATCTTTTGTTCTTAATCTCCCGACCAATGTTGTACTCATACATATTTGATCAATGCCAACAAACATATATTTCCTAATTTTGTAAGGGCAGTTAAAAGAGTGATGAGTCTGATGACACTGTAAATTTGTTGACTTTTTACTCCGCTGTTCGACTGTTTTTTCTCCATCAGCATTCGGAAACAGTACTCATTGTCTGATTAAGGTGCTAAAGAGTCGCTGTCTGAACAGTATGATGTATAGTCGGAAGCATAAAGGGCGTGGTTTGCCCATGTGCGAGGTCCTACCATCTACAGAAAAGTTTTAATGGATTTGTCTTATTTTTCACCCTTTTCCAATCCTGTTCACCGTTAAGCTGTACTTAAAGTTTATCGTTCACTTATTAAACTCTCTCCGACATTTCATCAAACACACATTTCACAAGTTCTTGATTACGAAGGAAATGATCTTGATCTCAGATCATGGGTGCGGCTTGCTACACGCTAAATTGTTAGGGCCAGCTTAATTTTTTTTTTTTTAAATAACTGATTATGATATTTAAAAGAATAACAGTAAATGGGATGGAAATTTGAGATCAAAATTTAAAAATAATTATACACTATAAGTTATATCATTTAAAATATATATTAAAAAATAAAGTTTATATTATTTATAAATTAATTTTTTTTTATTTTTTTGAGACCTATAATATTATACATATTAACGAATTCAATGACTTGATATATGTTATATCATTGATCTTAAATTTTCATTTCAAATTTTTATTTTTCTTATCATTATTCTATTTAAAAACATTAGAAATGAGAAAAAAAAATATAAGTATATTTAATAATAGTCATACGATACGTTTAATAAAATTAAAATTTATACTATGTTTTATACATTTAATATCAAGATATGTTG